AGTCACGGAAGTATAGCAACACTAAACAGAAACAATTTATTTCAGTCGGGATCATTTTTGAAAGTTTGTATACTTTCACGGGTGTTAGTTCAGTCTAGGGTTGCCAACCCTCCTATATAATACTAGCGGCCCGCCCTCGCTTCGCTTCGGTGTAGAGCTGAAGTGTAGACTACAGTTTTCGTTCTCAGGCTTCTATTATACACAATGGCATTCATCTATGATTCTTCTTATACCTGCATGCAAAGTCTCAGCCCGATCGGTTTAAAATTGACAAAGTTTCATACAAACTTTCATTCCCTATTTTATCCCCTTGGGGTTAGAATTGATCAAAATCCTTTCTTAGCGGATGCCTACGTCATAACATGAACATGTAGATGTGATGTGATGTCATTGCAGGTAGCTGCATGCCAAATTTCAGCCCGATCCGTCCAGTGGTTTGGGCTGTGCGTTGATAGATCACTATGTCAGTCAGTCGGTCACCTTTGAGTTTTATATATATAGAGATAGTATCCTACTATATCAGGGGATCAAATACTATATTTCTAAAAAACGAGCGAGCCTTACAGTACTCGCGTATGATATTTTTTAATAATATTATTGTTTTGTTATTTACATAAGAATAACATTGTGAATGCTCATAAGATCAAATAACTTACTATTGTTAACACTGGGCTTTGAACAATTAAGTCATAAAACAAGAAAGATTACTTTTTAAGGGTGTTGAACTTAAGTATTAGTAAGTATCAATTTTGTAACTGAAATATCCGATGTTCCAAAAGGAGCAATAAGTAATACACAACTGCATGTTATTTCTATATTCTCATTTTAAGTGGACTGTATGTCTTTATGGGAAATAAATTATCTTTGAACAAATGTGTAACATTTGAAACCTCACCTTATATTAGTAAAAAAAGAAATAAAACCTACTACAAAAGGAATAAGCAATTTGAACATTATGTTCTAAAATCAAATCAAATAGCGCGTGCTTTCGCGACTTCCTGTTACACACTTCCGTCCCATTTCACGAAATCACTCCCACAAATTGCAGGAAAGCGAGAGGTTACACATAAAAAAAAATAGTAGGCGAAACGACAATATTTTGCTTAAAGTAAAATATTAGGCGAAACTACTATATTTTGCTTAAAGCAGACTTTTGCCAGTAAAAGCTTTCTTAAAAATAAAAACTTAATTATTAAGCTTAGATTAAAATAAAAAGGGAAGATACGGCATTCGCGGCTCAAAAGTGATCCGCTTAAATTGTGGTCCACGACCATAATTCGCTTTAGTCACAATAGGGAAGATGCAATATTTTTATTTTTGTTTTCATTTTAAAGAATTCCATGTAGAATAAACCACAGATATATTAAAAAATTAAAACATTGTGATTTAACGGAAAAAATGCGGTTTTAAATTGACAATTTAAATTTTCGCGCGAAAACGAACCTATGGATGCGATGACGTCACTCCAGTCTGTCACTGGTCGTAATTGTTCGTTGCTGGCTTTAAATTTTCATACTTTTGCATATTTTTTCGACTTTCGAAATATTTTTTTAAAAAATTTAAAATGTATCCATCCATCAACATCATGTGATCATAACAATACCACTAATATTCCGAAAAAAAGCCGTGTTGACTCATGTTTTGTGCCAATCTACTTCAACAAAGTTCCCAAATAAATTGTTTTTGACTGGAACTTCTGACCCAAAACTGTGGTTTCAAGCTGCGAAGAGAAATGACAAATATTCTCCAAAGACCATTATTCGATGCTGAGAAGATCACTTTGACGTAAGTCGGAATACGAATAAAATACGAAGTTTAACAACTACGATTTTTACATACCGTAGTAATTCAGTCCCTTTCATTTCTAAACTTAAAAACTCTGCACTTTGGACAAAAAAAGTTATAACCATGTCAACGCTAACTCTTGGTAAATTCCTGGAGTCTGCTTTGATAAACGCAAATTTCATTTTTATTAAATGTAAAAAAACGCAATAAATATTCCCATAAAGTAATATTTACTTTAACAACCATAACCTCAAAGAAGTTGTCATAACAGGAGTGACGTCACTAAACGCTGATTGGTGTTTTAAAATACGTTCCGTTTCAAGTATTTTTAATTCGTAATAATTGTTAAAAAACAACATTATGTAAAATAAAAACGTTGCAGTGGCATTTCTTTTATATTTTTTTAACATTTTAATCATAAAATTTTCATAAATATTATGTATGCATCTTCCCTATTTGACATTCAAACACGCTGCATGTACACTCAATATAACAATATTGCGTATATTCTGTGTTATGAAGATATAACAATGCCTTCGATGCTTTTATAAAGAACACAAAAAGTTCAAAATCAAATACCCCGGCAACACTTTTCATTCGTAAAACTGTGAAAACATTTTTTTCCTAGAATTCACGGTTTGTCGTGAATATTATTTACGTAATCGCCATTTTGTAAGCAAGAAAAGGATAACAATATGCTGCGTTGCAGCGTATAGTTCTGTCTCGCTTGCTCGATTGATATTTATATGTTTATATACAGACGTGTGCGTGGCGAGAGTTGCTTATGTGGTTGAGTCGGATCATATTTTATTTGATGCTAGTATGAGCGTACCCTATCTACCCTTTTTGTTTTAATCTAAGTTATTAAGGTATAAAGCAGCAAAAATATACTCATTACAAAAATAAAGTAAATATTTTAACCATGTACTATATTTATTTCCATTTTTTGCCATCTACTATATTGTTAGTGGTAACAGCTTCGAAAATACTATATTTAATAAAAATAAAGTTGATAACCCTTGTCCAGTCTCACACATGCGCGGGCGCCGACACACGCAGCGTTTTCTATTCAAGCAACAAATGTTTGTAAATCTGTTTATTGACATACTCATTTGCATTAAACTAACTTACTTATCACCATATCGTGCGAGCCAATGGACATACCTACCTATTAAGGTAATATGTCATCTTTCTAATGTCACAATTGTAAATATTTATTGTTGAACTTTATAGCAGCGTAAGCATACATATTTAAATCATTTTTTACCGTTTCTACCTTTAAATAGAAAATATCTCCTTATATTGTTTCAGGATTCAGAAGCTTGACATTTCCTGGATTCGTAGGGCGCACTTTCTATATTGGATCATGATGTCCTTATTTGAACATTAAATAAATAATTATGACGTTGAATATAAAATATTATATGATTATATTAATTCAACTAAATTGTTTGACATTTAAATTAAATTACATTACGCGACATTTTAATTATATGACTTTAAATGTAGAATATTAATTAATTACATAAATTCATTTTGGTTTGACATTTGGTTTAAGATTACTTTTTATTTTATTTATAATACAATTTCAATATTTAAATAACACACATTGATTGAAACCTAAAAATAATATATACGAGCATAGCATTTAAGTTAAATATTGTTACTAACGATATTAATGGACCATTTTGTTGTCTGTAATAAACAATTTGAAATATAAAAAAATTACTCGTAACGCCTTACGAGCTGACGCCTCAACTGACGATAAATATACACGTCTCTCATTGGCCATATTTTCTAAATACATATTACTCATAAATGCATATTGTAGTCTTTTAATATGTTAATTATTTATTTCTTCTCGTGAATAACTAGAGCAGAGTTTCACACTTTCGTAGCGTTATCTGTATAAAATCTTGCTTAAATTTCGATTTACCACGAAATGTGCAATAACTCGCTTTTGGTCCGTAGCCTTCTTATTTTTCATCATCATCATCATCATCAGCCTTATAATATCCCCACTGCTGGGGCACAGGTCTTCCCTATGGATGGAATAGGGAGTTTGGGCCATGACCCACCACGCGGGCTCAGTGCGGATTGGTGGGTGCTAACGACTGCAGATGCAGCCGGGACCAACGGCTTAACGTACCTTCCGAAGCACGGAGGAGCTCGAGATAGTTAATTTTTGGTCACCCATCCAATGACCGACCACTACGAAAGTTGCTTAACTTCACCGATCGCAGCCGAACGCGCTAACCACCTGCGCCATCGAGCTCCTCCTCTTATTTTTACTTGAAGTTTATAGTGAAGTTTAGTATTTCATTAGATACGAGTAAAACAAATTTCAAAATTTTGAACGTGTTTTACACGGAAGCGGTAAATTCGAGCTGTTGTTGTCTTGTATGAAGCTAGTTAAGAATAATTAGATGACCTACTACCAAAAAAAGACAGAAATTACTGTTAAAAAATTTTATTTATTTTTTAAGCATTTAACTGCTAGATGTTTAAATCTAAAGAAAAGTTTACTAGAAAAAAATCCACGCGGACCAGGCAGCGGACGGGACTCGAACCCGCATCCTTCGCTATCCGGGCGAATGCACTGACCATTATGCTACCACGGCCCTATTAGCCGCGTCGAAATTTTCCTAGCCTTAAGCTGCAAGGGAGCGCCATCTCTTCGCATTGTAGGTAACCCCAAAATAAGCATAATGGTCAGTGCATTCGCCCGGATAGCGAAGGATGCGGGTTCGAGTCCCGTCCGCTGCCTGGTCCGCGTGGATTTTTTTCTAGTAAACTTTTCTTTAGAATTACTGTTAAAGTTTTGTCTAAGAAACATACACGGATCAAGGAAAGTACCTACATGAAAAGATGGCACGCTCAAAAACGTAATTAAACTTTTGAAACCTTTTTTAAAAATGTAGAGTCGACTACTCTCGGCGTAGTAATTCATTACTTCTGTGACTACTGCATTCGAATGATTGGTGAATCATTTCTTAAAATTAAATAACTTTAAGATCTTAAGAGTTAATCTTAATATACGCCAAAGTCAATAGAAAACTTGAGCAAATCCAAATAAAGGTTTCTCTAGTATATTTATCAGGTCATTAACAGTTTTACACTCATCGATAAGTCTCTTGAAGTCACGTCGCTTTAGCCCTTAACCAGCCAGCCCGCTGAAACAGTGACCCATCTACATCAGAGGTGAAAGTTCTTACCGGACAACAGCGAGCTCGCGAACGACTCATCCTGCCCGCAAACTGGGCCAAACACCAACGCGAACACTACGACGCACGCCCGCACTGTCATTGTTGCACTGTCAAACTGTCACTGCTGTCACCGGGCTGTCAAGCGCTGTCACTGGCCGCTTGGCGCATGGCGCGTCTGGTCGCGGTCTCGCGGGGCACTCAACTGATGCCAGAAAGAAAGGGGTACGGTGCCAAGCGTGTTCCAGCAAAGAGCGGAAACCTACAGACGCGATTCGACTTTCTACTCGCCGGTATCTATAATAAAATCCCTCCCGACATGAAAAAGCTAAATATGAACATGTTTAAAAATAAACTATATAAATGGCTAAATGAAAACAATTTTTATGACCTAAAAAGTCTTTTCAATTATAAAAATTAATGACGTGTTTTAACTTATCCTTTAATAATTATGATAAATGTATCTTTTTATTTTTTTTATATCTGACATTTAGAAATCTTGTAATATTAATATGTTGACATTGTATATTTTATTGACATAATATTAGGTAACTCTGACATTCATAAATCTACAGAAAAATGTTATAATTAATTAACCTCTTTTTTTATTGGTTCCATATTATGTATTTGCATGCTATTTTTAAAATGGCAAAACACGTGCTCAATCTGTTATGTAATACCTATATACCATGTTTTTAGCAAATAAAGATTATGATTATGGTAAGTATTCCTCACTAGCTTCCGGCTGTAACTTCGTCTCTGATGACTTTATTGCTCTTTCTGCCTCCGGGAACCGTAGATATACATTATTTAAGATACTAACTAAGTTTGACGTATGTCACCACTATACTAAAAGTATTTTTAAAGACAAGAAGACATATTTTTTCATAGACAAATGTCGACCAAAACAGTAGTTTATAGAGTTCAGCACTTTGAAAATTAATTAGGTATAAGAAAACCGGACAAGTACGAGTTGGACTCGCCCACCGAGGGTTCCGTACAAATGTGTTAGTATGCAACATAAAAGGTAATAAGTATCACTTTTTACCGTTAAGTTATAAGTTTGATTTTTCCCAGTATCACTAAACTTCAAGGGATCATAGACTTGAGTATAAGGTTTAAATTTCTACGATACCTCCCCGCGTTCTCGAAGTAAAGAGTCTTCGTGACAGACAAACGGACAGACAAAAAAGTGATCATATAAGTGTTATTTTTTTTCTACTTTTTTTTTCTTTATGGTACGGAACCTTAAATATAACGAAACCGTTGTATATTTCCTTGCAGGAGAGTTCAAAACTGTTCACTGTGCAAAGAATAACGTCACAAGTGACAAAATGATGAAAAACGATAACCAAACCAAAAAGGTAAAACTAATAAAAATAGTTATGATTTTATTTAATTTATAAGGATGATGATTTTATTTATAAGGATGCGGGTTCGAGTCCCGTCCGCTGCCTGGTCCGCGTGGATTTTTTTTTCTAGTAAACTTTTCTTTAGATAATAAAAATATTTGAAGAAGATTCTATAGCCTCTCTGCATATTTATGTAATCTTTGAACAAATTATCATCGTTTAACGGCAAATGGACTCGTGGTGAAGGTATGATTTGTTAACTAGACGCTATCGTCGCTTCACACACGCCACCTTAAAGATTCTTATCTATTTTGAAGATGTTAGAATTTGTAGTGTCCGTCCGTACGTAATTAAATTTTGCGAGCTTCACCTACTTTACTCTAATACAGAAAATTAACGTGGCAACAGTGCCCTAAGCTTACGCTTCCGTCAGTCCGTCTGTCAGCGAGCTACATTAACCGTAATAATTATTACGGACCTATTATAAAAGTTGGTCGGATAAAACTTTCACAGATTATTTTATTATTTCTATCGGTACTAAAACAAATGGAGACTTTAAAGTAATTAACAATTTTTTTAGAGATTTTTTGTTCACTTCGGTTTTTTTGAGTGTGTATGCTGCTGGTCGCAGATGACTTTTACAGCGTCACCGGGTTTGGGGACGGCGAGATCCTACGGGGACCTCAAGCGGAGAATTGGCGAGTGCTTGTAGAAGTATTCCAGACGGATAGCGTCTCCCCACGGGGGGAGTCTCCTCTCCGTCTGGAGCCTCTAGACCACTCGAACCTGAGGGGGTAGGCTCATCCAGAGGGCGCCTCTGAGACTCGGACTCGGCTCTAGTTAGCCGTTGTCGTGAGGGGTAGAGAAAAACGCCCAGGTTCGTACTTGTACCTGGTATAGCGTGTCGTGTGTAAAGGGTCTTCGCACTCTTATCCTAATCGCTTCGGTGTAGAGTATACTGTATCTGTACATATAATATATTTGTATATACCTGTATCTATCTATATATATAAAACTCAAAGGTGACTGGCTGACATAGTGATCTATCAACGCACAGCCCAAACCACTGGACGGATCCGGCTGAAATTTGGCATGCAGGTAGATGTTATGACGTAGGCATCCGCTACGAAAGGATTTTGATCAATTCTACCCTCAAGGGGATAAAAAAGGGAATGAAAGTTTGTGTGAAACTTTGTCAATTTTAAACTAATCGGGCTGAGACTTTGCATGCAGGTATAAGAAGAATCATAGATGAATGTCATTGTGTATAATACAAGCCTGGGAACAAAAACTGTAGTGTACACTTCAGCTCTACGCTGAAGCGAAGCGAGGGCGGGCCACTAGTGTATATATCACGCTACGACAAGTAGGAGCGGTGCATCAATGAAACATGTTGCAAAAACGGGTCGAGAATGTTCCATTTGTGATCTTCCGTTGCGTGCGCTGTGTAAACGGGTAAAGTTATACTAAAATCATGTATGACGGAATTGTTTCCCTTCAAAAGTTCTATAAATAAGTCCGCGACAGCATCCATCCATCTTTTAAGTTTGACTCACTTTAATCTTTTTACACGCGGCATAACTTTAATAGTGAGACATAATGGTGTTACGGACTTTTTTGCAGATATTTATGTCCTCTATAAAACTTTAGTACATTCAGCGTACGCAATAAAAGTTTTTTTTTTGGTATTTTTTTTAACGCGTTAGGATTACATTATCGAAATTCTCATGTGGATTATAGCTATGTTCATGAGGGATAATGCAGGATTCTAAATATGAAAGAATTTTTCAAATTAGTCCAGTAGTTTCGGAGCTGAATAGGCTCCGAAACTACTGGACCAATTTGATACAAACAAACAAACAATTAAATATTTCCTCTTTATTATATTAGTATAGAATATAGATGTTTAACCTATGAATACATATTCAAAATTTGATTGAATGAAATTAAGTATGTAGGTAATATTATAACCTCCGTAAACGTATTTTATGAACAACTAGTGGCCCGCCCTCGCTTCGCTTCGGTGTAGAGCTGTAGTGTAAACTATAGTTTTTGTTCTCAGGCTTGTGCTATAAACAATGACTTTATTTATATAATTACACGTGTTATTGTGAATCAACCATAAAAGATAGACATATGTTGTTGCGGGATATTTTTTAGACAATTTTATGTAGAATATTTCCGTTATACATGATTTCTATGTAACTTTAACCATTAAGGCTGCACACGCGACGGAAGCTTAAAAAATGGAGTAACTTCTCCCGTTTTCCCAACATTTCCCTTCACTACTCTGCTGCTATTGATTGTAGCGTGATGAAAAGTATACTATAACCTGCCCAGGAGTATGAAGAATAATTGTACCAAGTTTCGTTAAAATCCGTCGAGTAGTTTTTGTTTCTATAAGGAACATACACACAGACAGACAGACAGACAGACAAAAATTTTACTGATTGCATTTTTGGCATCAGTATCGATCACTAATCACCCCCTGATAGTTATTTTGCAAATATATTTCATGTACAGAACTGACCTCTCTACAGATTTATTATAAGTATAGATAGATTGTGTTAGAAAACACAAATTAATTTAAATATTTCACAAATGCAATCGATTCGGATCGACAAACCCGGTGCTGCTTCTCTTACAAAAACTCTGTCCCAATAAATGTCCTGTTGTCTACTTAAATACCTACGAGTACCTCACTTTCATCGTGTTATTAATATACATGGAGCAGGCAAAAAAATAAAAAGTATACAATGGTGTCGATTCTGACAGGATTCTCTAAACATAAAACTAAATTTAACATTAGTCTGTCCTTCTCATTCCGTATAGAGAATGACAGGGATTCACTATTGTCAAATTTAAGTTTAGCTTTAGAGAATCATACCAATCGACACCAATATATGTAGACTTATTGGTAGCGATCTTTAGGGCAATTTAAAGGAACTTAATAAGACACAACGAAAGTAGGCCAATTTCTTAAATAAATGACCTTTTTACTAGACTTGCAACGAATATTCGGTTACTATTCGGTATTCGGCATATTCGGCTGCTTTTATTATATTCGACCGAATACCGAATACTTAAATAATATATATTGTCCTAGAGAAATAATTGGTAAAATGAAAAATTAAAATCGATTTATTACGTATATATTCATATTTTCATTTCTGTTATATATAATCATTTAAGTAGTCATTGGTACATAACACAGGTACATAATATCCTCTTCTGAATTGGGAAAATGGAGGATTCTATGTATTTGAATTATTGTGTTAATCAAAATTTAGAAGGGTAAGGTTCTCATTTCTTTTATAATCATTTATTAAGTAGTCATTGGTACATAAAACAGGTAGATAATTTAATCATTTCCTGTATTAAACAAGTTAAGAATTTTTCTATGCATTTGAATTATTTTCATAATCAAAATTTAGAAGGGAAAGGTTATGGTGCAGAAAGACTAACTTTACTGCATTTTTAGGAAGTAGTTTACTTCTTTTTTTCTCGTAAGCCAGCCCAGCTTCAGAGAAAAGGCGCTCTGAATAAACACTACTTCCTGGCGCCGACAAATATTTTGCTGCAATCTTAATCAAACACGGAAATTCAAATTTCCTTGCTTGCCACCATGTATACGGGTTGACATGACGTGATATATTACTAATATCTTTTCAACAGCTGGCGCGCGGGCGATGAGTACGTTAGAACAAACCAAAGGAGCGCGAAACAATCACGTCTGTACAAGTTTTTGGTACTAAAATCCAGCCGAATATTTTTGCCTAATATTCGGCTATTCGGTCAGGGGCCTCGCCGAATATTCGATATTTGGTATACTGCCGAATATACTATT